AACGATCCCTATATATTAACATAAGTGGCACATTTGTTGCATCTATACAGTTAATGGTTGCATGGGTCTTCCTTTTAGTAGGGCTCTAATATTCCACCTAGTCAGCCTTAGGATAATGCAGGACTGACACCTACTTCCACTGGGCTATATGACAAAGAAATCGCTTTTACAAAAGAATGCCAAACTTTGACAAACTCTAATATAATCCATGTAATACTTTCTATGCATCTGATTATTTTATCTTATTTGATAACCATATACCACCTACTTCAGTATTATTCACCTCGTTCCCTATGTGATATTTGAAAACATCCAAGAGATATATCCCAGCCGGAACAGTGAACTGTGACGGCAAAGAAAGACCTAATCCAATGCAATATAACTGTTTGCTTAATATCACTAATGCCTTCAGTTTATCAAACACCTTTCCAGACGAGAAGGGCGGTGAAAGAACTTCAAAGAGGAACGGAAACGCTGCATGTGAAAACAAGAATGGAAAATGCGTCAATGAACAGAAATGCCAAGGAAAGGATGTCCTCAAGAAGATCCGGTGCAGCGGGCAGAATGAAGTGTGCTGTCGCAAGGGTAACTGTCATATTTTGCAATCATGTCCATGACACTTTTTAACATATCCAAACACTGCAATATAGTATAAATTATTAATATCACTAATGCTCTCACCTTATCAAATATCACAGGTGGTAAAAGAAATTCAAAGTCCGCCACAAAGGCCACGTGTAACAATAACAAAGGGAAATGTGTGAAGAAAAGGAAATGCAACGAGAATAACATCCTCGAGAGCAATGAGTGCAGTGGAAATGAAGTTTGTTGTCGCAAGAGTAAGCGTCGAGCTTATGTCTTTCTGACTGATTTTAACATTTTTTTCTTTCTTTTCATCAATTTTGTTGACCTCGGGTGACCTGTGACAGTGAGCCACGGTGTCATATACTGAGCTCTTTGTCCAGCTTCCACTTCCCCTTAGGCACCCTTGGAGAGTCAGTTGCTCCAATACGTAAAATTTTCTAAAGCCATGGAATGTAATTACAAGGATTACTATGCATTTCAACAAATATGAAATGAAAACAAGTATTAGTTTGTTTGTTTTTTGCTAAATCATGCATTCCGTGTTCAAAAAATATACAGGGCCAAGTCATGACCTTGTGTGACCCCTAGGCTAAAAACTTTCTAATATAGCCTGGAATTGGGGCCCCTTGTCCAACACAAGGCATGAATAGAGGCTCTATCTCAAATTAGGCACTACTTTTTTCAAAATTGTTTTCCAGTATCCGATGCATCCTATAATTATCAGTGTTTGATTTTAAGTTGAATGAATTAATCAACAATGCAATATTATTAAAACATTAATTTGAAAATGGTAAACACTACCATCTTGATACTATGTGGGTTCTTCTACCATGTTTGAAAATCTTTAAGAATTATCCTTCAAGCTTGACGATCCCAAAGATGCAGTCTATGTTATCATGTGGTCCTGCACCATTAACATCCTTCGTATAAAAGAGGATTCCTATATACCAATTTAAGTGTCACATCTGTTGTAGCTATATAGTTAATATTTTACACATTAAAATGGTTGCATGGGCCTTGCTTTTGGTAGGCCTTTAATATTCAACCTTGTCAACCATAGGCTAATGCAGGAATGACGCCTACTTCTACTGGGCTATGACAAAGAAATCATTTTTACAAAAGAATGCCAAACTCCGACAAATTCGAATGGGTATTGTGCAATACTCTCTATGCATGTTTCTTTTAATATTATTTGATGACCAATATCAACTATTTTAGTATTACCTACCTCATCCCCTGTGAGATATTTGTAAACATCTAAGAGATATATCCCAGCCGGAACAGTGAAATGTGACGGCAAAGAAAGACCTAATCCAATACAATATAACAGTTTTCTTAATATCACTAATACCTTCAATTTATCAAACACCTTTCCAGACGAAAAGGGCGGTGGAAGAACTTCAAAGAGGAACGGAAACGCTGCATGTGAAAACAAGAATGGAAAATGCGTCAATGAACAGAAATGCCAAGGAAAGCATGTCCTCAAGAAGATCCGGTGCAGCGGGCAGAATGAAGTGTGCTGTCGCAAGGGTAACTGTCATATTTTACAATCTTGTCCATGACACTTTTTAACATATCCAAACATTATATCTCAGACTGAATAACAATCCTGTGTAACAATCCACGTGTAACAATAACAAAGGGAAATGTGTGAAGAAAAGGAAATGCAACGAGAATAACATCCTCGAGAGCAATGAGTGCAGTGGAAATGAAGTTTGTTGTCGCAAAAGTAAGCGTCAAGCTTCTATCTTTCTGACTGATTTTGCAGGTTTTTTTCATCAGTTTTGTTGACCTCGGGTGACCTGTGACAGAGTGAGCCACGGTGTCATATACTGAGCTCTTTGCCCAGCTCCCACTTCCCCATAGGCACCATTGGGGAGTCGGTAGCTCCATCAATACTCAAAATTTTCTAAAGCCTTTTAATGCAATTACAAGGGAAACTGTTTTCCTGCAAATATGAAATGAAAACAAGTATTAGTTCGTTTGTTTGTTTTTTGCTAAATCATGCATTCCGTGTTCAAAAAATACACAGGGCCAAGTCATGACCTTGTGTGACCCCTAGGCTAACGACTCTCTTATATAGCCTGGAGTTGGGGCCCCTTATCTAAAACAAGGCATGAATAGAGGCTCTATCTCAAATTAAGCACTACTTTTTTCAAAATTGTTTTCCAGTTTCCGATGCATCCTATAATTATCAGTGTTTGATTTTAAGTTGAATGAATTAATCAACAATGCAATATTATTAAAACATTAATTTGAAAATGGTAAACACTACCATCTTGATACTATGTGGGTTCTTCTACCATGTTTGAAAATCTTTAAGAATTATCCTTCAAGCTTGACGATCCCAAAGATGCAGTCTATGTTATCATGTGGTCCTGCACCATTAACATCCTTCGTATAAAAGAGGATTCCTATATACCAATTTAAGTGTCACATCTGTTGTAGCTATATAGTTAATATTTTACACATTAAAATGGTTGCATGGGCCTTGCTTTTGGTAGGCCTTTAATATTCAACCTTGTCAACTTTAGGATAATGAAGGAATGACGCCTACTTCTACAGGGCTATATGACAAAGAAATCATCTTTACAAAAGAATGCCAAACTCCGACAAATTCGAATGGGTATTGTGCAATACTCTCTATGCATCTGATTTTTTTCATCTTATCTGATGACCAATACCAACTATTTAGTATTACCTACTTCATCCCCTGTGAGATATTTGTAAACATCCAAGAGATATATCCCAGCCGGAACAGTGAACTGTGACGGCAGAGAAAGATATAATATCACTAATACCATTAACATACCAAACACCTTTCCAGACGAAAAGGGTGGTGGAAGAACTTCAAAGAGGAACGGAAACGCTGCATGTGAAAACAAGAATGGAAAATGCGTCAATGAACAGAAATGCCAAGGAAAGGATGTCCTCAAGAAGATCCGGTGCAGCGGGCAGAATGAAGTGTGCTGTCGCAAGGGTAACTGTCATATTTTGCAATCTTGTCCATGACACTTTTTAACATATCCAAACATTATATCTCAGACTGAATAACAATCCTAAGTGGCACATAGGCAACAAATCTACAGCAATATAAAATAAATGATTAATATCACTAATACCTTCAATTTATCAAACACCTTTCCAGACGAAAAGGGCGGTGGAAGAACTTCAAAGAGGAACGGAAACGCTGCATGTGAAAACAAGAATGGAAAATGCGTCAATGAACAGAAATGCCAAGGAAAGCATGTCCTCAAGAAGATCCGGTGCAGCGGGCAGAATGAAGTGTGCTGTCGCAAGGGTAACTGTCATATTTTGCAATCTTGTCCATGACACTTTTTAACATATCCAAACATTATATCTCAGACTGAATAACAATCCTAAGTGGCACATAGGCAACAAATCCACTGCAATATAAAATGATTAATATCACTAATGCTCTCACTTTATCAAACATCACAGGCGGTAAAAGAAATTCGAAGTCCGCCACAAAGGCCACGTGTAACAATAACAAAGGGAAATGTGTGAAGAAAAGGAAATGCAACGAGAATAACATCCTCGAGAGCAATGAGTGCAGTGGAAATGAAGTTTGTTGTCGCAAGAGTAAGCGTCAAGCTTCTATCTTTCTGACTGATTTTGCAGGTTTTTTTCATCAGTTTTGTTGACCTCGGGTGACCTGTGACAGAGTGAGCCACGGTGTCATATACTGAGCTCTTTGCCCAGCTCCCACTTCCCCATAGGCACCATTGGGGAGTCGGTAGCTCCATCAATACTCAAAATTTTCTAAAGCCTTTTAATGCAATTACAAGGGAAACTGTTTTCCTGCAAATTTGAAAGGAGAACGCTTTAGCTTTTTTTCTATTTTTGCTAATGCATTCCGTGTTCAGAAAAATAGACTTTGCCTACCAGAAACGGGTCTTGTGGGACCACTAGGCTAACAACTTTCTAATATAGCCTGGAGTTTGGGCCCCTTATCTAAAAAAAGGCCATAAATAGAGGCTCTTTATCTCAAATTAGGGAATGCTTTTTAAGTAATTGTTTTTCCAGACTCCTAGGCATCATATTATTACCAGAATTTTGTTTGAAGCTGAATGAACTATTCAACAGTGCAAAATATTAAACTCATTAACACATATATATTTGAAAATGGTAAACACTGCCGTCTTGATACTATGTGGGTTTTTCTACCATGTTTAAAAATCTTTAAGAAGGATCCTTCAAGCTTGACGATCCCAAAGATGCAGTCTATGCTATCGTGTGGTCCTGCACCATTGGCGTCCTTCGTATAAAAAATTCCTATATACCAATTTCAGTGGCACAATTTCGGCTGTACAGTTAACATTTAACTCATGAAAATGGTTGCATGGGCCTTGCTTTTGGCGGGCCTCTAATATTCAACTTAGTCAACCTTAGGG